ATTTTTCTAATGACTGGTTTAAGAGAAACGTGTGTTCAAAAAGATCTCCATATCGATACCACTCCTTTGACTGCCATGAATGCAGACTAATAGTGGTGTTCATTCAAGTAGTGTCACGGTTGGATGATTTTTGGCCCAAGTGATATTTTTCTAAAAGTATGAAGTATTTCAAGACTGTTCATGCAGTTTATGAATGATCTGTTGGCAAATAAGCTTTTATAGGTACTTTGCTAACCTTGGGGTGGTTTGAATTATGGTCCTTTGCTTTTCTTGAGAATTCAACATTTTTATTTTTAAACTAGACAACAGCAACGCCAAAGCGTAGCAAATCCCATCAAACAGCCATGGCTGGTATTTTTACAAACAAAGTATATAGCAAAAATGGCAGCCATTTTTCAAAATGGCCACTTTCTACCAAAAGTGTCATTAGACAGTGTGCCATGCTTATAGTATTCACATACCAAATATGAACAAAATCACTCCACTACTTTTCCATTTATAGTAAAATGGCCAAAATGGTCAAAATGGACGCCTTCTACCAAAAATGTTATTAGACAATGTGCCATGCTTATTGTATTGTATTTTGTTTATAAAACCACCCCCTAGCCATTATTTCTGATAAATATTTATTTTTTTAACATGTACACCAACAATGATATATCATTTTAAAGATAATTTAATTTGCAACAAATTGATATATAATAGCACCATTTTCAATAACCCTATATAGAAATATAATCAATTATGTGACATGGGGGTCAAAAAACACCTTTTCAATTTTCATCGATTTTGCGAACAATTGCCTATTTCTACCAAATTTTACTGTTCAGTTAAACATTGCAACATTGTCATGAGTCTTTCATAATTGGATATTATATATTTTTTTCATTTAGTTTTTGAACCATGCATGCTCAATAAACATGTGTATGCTTATAAAACAAATTCATTACTTCTTCAGTCCATCCAAATATGGCTCAATAGACCCATCCCCCGACCCATCCTCTGATCGGATTATTTGCTTAAGACGCGGAAACCATTGGTTGATGGCATAATTGATGGATGTATGCAGAAGTATCATTCAGCTGCTAGTTATTCTTTCTTTTAGTTCCTCTACATCCCTGATAGGCTGGGTATCTTTAAATACCAACTGTTCTAGATGCCCCTAGGTATGGTAATCAACATTATTGGCATCTGGACTGCCAGTAAGCCATTTGTCCGGGCTAGAGATGGTGTCATTTCAAATCTCCCAAAACTCCAGGGTAGCATTAGACCTGTGTGATGAAGCACTTTTCTATCAGAAAATGAAATTTCTTTCACATGTTTTTTATATCCTTGAGGAGTCCTTTTTTAACACCTCATGTCATTAACATTCAGAGTATATTTTTGCTCCTGGTTCAACAAAAGCAGGGCCTGTACAGTCTTTACTTTTTGGGAAACACCGAATTGACACCACTACCCTTTCAGAAAAATGTCATCTTGATTTGAGTAGCCTTTTATCGCAAATGTCCCTATTCTTGCTTACTAATATATAGAGTCTATCCTGTTGATTACATATTACATATGTACTTGCGGCATTAAGAACAGTTGGTCTATGAAGATCACTAGCCTATCAGGGATGTAGACACACTGAAAGAATGAATAATTACGAGTTTGATGGTACTTCCACAGAGATCCATCAATTATACCAATGGTTTTCGCGTCTTTAGCGAATAATTCGAACAGAAGGTGAGTCCAGGGGTGGGTCTATTGAGCCATATTTGGACAGACTGAAGAAGAAATTAATTTGTTTTATAAGCATACACATGATAATTGAGCATGCATGGTTCAAAAACTAAATGAAAAAAAAATATAATATCCAATTATGAAAGACTCATTACATTGTTGCAATGTTTAACTGAACAGTAAAATTTGGTAGAAATAGGCTATTCGTTGTTCACAAAATCGATGAAAATTGAAAAGGTGTTTTTTGACCCCCATGTCACATAAATGGTTATATCTCGAGCCAGGTTTGTTGAAAATTGTTCTATTATATATCATTTTGTTGCAAATTAAATTATCTTTAAAATGATATATCCAGACTTGCCAACCTCCCGTTTTTTTACGGGAATCTCCCGTAAATTTTTTGTTTTTCCGTAAAAAATACCAAACTCCTGTACCGTTTTCTCCCGTAAAAACTCCCGTAAACTCCCGTACCGTATTTCTACTAAAATCTCCCGTAATTTTTTTTAAAAATATGACCGTAAAATCTCCTGTATTTTTGCTGAAATTTCACGTAAAATCTCCCGTATTCTTGGTATAACTCCCGTAAAATCTCCCGTTTTCTGGTATAATTCCCGTAAAATCTCCCGTATTCTTGGTATAACTCCCGTCAAATCTCCGTTTTTTGCTGTCGAAATCTACCGTATTTAAAATGAATTTGACAAATTTGTGAACTTGATTATTGCAGGCATGCTTCTTTCTTTTACTCCAAGAAGGATTGACTCCCATGGTTCACTATCGATACTTTCATAAATAACTTAAAAGTACTTCATTCCCATGATTCAAATTGCTTTTCTGCGATCAGTTCGGTATAAGTTTGCACACCAAATGTCCACAAATGGGGGCCAGTTCATATTCTGTCATACTTCTGTCGCGAGAATACATTTTGTTTTTATATGGCGCTAAACAAAATATTCCCGCAATATAAGGCGCATTATTGGTAGGGACTGCTGTGAAATAATGAACATAAGTGACATCTATCTTAGATTATAAGTTCTAATTAATTTATTAACTGCATGCGTCATTATAATCATAAAGATTGCCCTTAGCATATAGTAAACGCCACATATACATTTTACTCCCGTTTTTTCAAAATCTAAGTAAAAACTCCCGTTTTTTCATAAATCTACCGTAAAACTCCTGTTTTTTCATAAATCTACCGTAAAAACTCACGTTTTTTTCAAAATCTACCGTAAAAACACCCGTTTTTTCAGAAACCTACCGTAAGAACTCCCGTTTTTTCCGAAATCTACTGTAAAAACTCCTGTTCTTTCAAAATCTACCGTAAAAACTCCCGTTTTTTTCAAAATCTAAAGTAAAAACTCCTGTTCTTTCAGAAATCTACCGTAAAAACTCCCATTTTTTCAAAATCTAAAGTAAAAACTCCTGTTTTTTCAGAAATCTACCGTAAAAACTCCAGTTTTTTCAAAATCTACCGTAAAAACTCCAGTTTTTTCAGAAATCTACCGTGAAAACTCCCATTTTTTCCGAAATCTACCGTAAAAACTCCTGTTTTTTTTAAAATCTACCGCAAATCTCCCGTTTTTCAAAATCTACCGTAAAAACTCCCGTTTTTTCAGAACCTATCGCAAAAATTCCAGTTTTTTCTGAAACCTTCCGTAAAAAAAGTCACGTTTTTAAAATTTATTGCGAAGGATACCTTTTTTAAAAAATCTCCCGTAAAAACTCCAGTTTTTTCAAAATATCCCGTAAAAACTCCCATTTTTTTCAAAATTTACCCCAAAAACTCCCGTTTTTTTAAATCTCCGGTAAAAACTACAGTTTTTTCAAAAAACTCCCGCTTTTTTTCAAAAACCTCCCGCAAAAACGACCGGAATTTGAAAAAAACTCCCGTAAAAGTACCGCAATTATTTTTAAATCTCCCGAAAATTTTTCATTTTAGGTTGGCAAGTCTGATATCATTGTTGGTGTACATTTTAGAAAATGAATTTTTATCAGGAATATCGACTAGGGGGTGGTTTTTTTTGGCCCACCCTGTATACAGTCGTAATTTGCGTAATTAACCTGGAAGATAGACCCGAAAACCCCTCCTTAAAGGAGCCCTGTGTTCTTTTATGTGCATTTATACATAGACATACAAGTACACACAACAGCCTTTTGTATGAGTTGCAGACCACTCAGTCAAACACCCTGAAGTACTTCACTCAAACAAGCAAATTTAGTCTTGCCTGAACCGGGGATCGAATCCAGAACCTATTGCGTAAGAGGTACATGCGCTACCGCTGAGCTACACAGGTCGACTAAAATAGTATTCACATACCAAATATGAACAAAATCGCTCCACTACTTTTCGAGTTAGTAAAATACGTTAAAATGGCGGCCATTTTTCAAAATGATCGCCTTCTACCAAAAGTGTCATTAGACAGTGTGCCATGCTTATAGTATTCACATACCAAATATTAACAAAATCGCTCCACTACTTTTCGAGTTACAGCAAAAATCGTAAAATAACAAGTAAAGGCCATGTGCTTCTTTAATATCTACATTTCTAGCTTTATTAATGTCCTATATATTTTTTTACATTTAAAACATATTACTATTACAGTTTTACATATTGCACCTAAATTACTGAAAAATCTGCACTAAAATGGTCACCATTTTTAAATGATCGGCCATTTTGAAAACCGTCTTTCAGCAGAACTTCTATACCCATAGGGTATATGTATACAAAATATGAACAAAATCGAGCCAAGTGTATTTGAGTTATTGCCTGGACGGACGGACTGACAGATGTACGGACGGATGGATGGACGGATGAACAGAGATAATAAGAGTTTGTAAACTGATCATTCGATCCATGAATGTCTCATATTCATATCTGATAACTGGGCAGTGTGGGCATTCATGTCTCCGCATATGATTGTTTTACCAGAAAGTTGATAGGAAGCAATTGATTTTTCTAAGATGTCAAAGTTGTCAAAATTTTCATAAGTTGAATCTTTATGCGGCACATAAACAAAACATATATTATATATACAGTATATCGTTCTCTAAATTGTAAAAAGAAGACTTAACTCTGAACCATTACAAAGAAATCATGAGTTAGCACTTCAATTGAATTAAAAAATAATCTTTTTTGAAGACAGCTATATATGCCTCCAAAATAATTTGGGTTAGTGTTTTTTTGTTGACAATATGAGGGGGAACAATATTGCACAGTCAGTGTAGAACAATTCAGGTCTTGAAAAGTAGACACTGGGTTAATCAGACAAATTAGTTACCTGAATGAGAATGGATTTTTTCTCATCAAGGGTCATGGAATCATACAAGTGGAATATTTGTCCTGATGCCTCGGTGGTATGACTACTACCCATCTTGGTGTCATGCTGGCCAATAGCACCATCCCCTGCAAATTGAGCAAGACAGGCAATTTACTCAATGAAATGACATGAAATACATGCCCCTTACCTGTTATGAATTGCCAGTTATATACATACACACTACCCTACCTCGATCACGCATGCACAAAATTTTTGGCTTTCAACAAGGTCGCTTTTGAGTATATCGACTGCTTAGTCAAAAGGTTAATACGTTTTGTGCTCGGTGTGAGTCAATATTGTTATTCGCTGAACGTCAGTGGTGCAATAGTGAAGTCCATGTTCAAAGTTATATGATGGTTGAAGAAAGAATATAATTAATATCATCTTAAATGTTAAAATATTTGATATGTCATAGTACAGGGTACAAAGTTGCAAAAGTTGATCAATACAGGGTACAAGGAAGGTAAATTGTTCCAATAGTACAGGGGGCGAGAATGTAAGCTGATTATACAGAACGATTCGCTGGTTTTACACTAAAACCAATTCTGAGATAATCAATAGTATACTAGAATCATGTTTTGTACAATATTGACAGTATATTTTTGAACCACTAAATGTAATTGATCTAATCTTTATTTTCAGGGGTGTACAATAATTGTACATGTGCCAAGCATTATTTTTAATGCGCTTGATGTCCTAATCCAGTGGCACATGGAGCTGTATTTGACATTCAAAACCAGAGTAAAATGAATAATAGAAGGAATGATATGTTTCATTGGAGTACATTGATGCACAAATGCATACAAGGGGCGTCATTAGAATATTTCAAATGTTGTATATATGGAAATGCTTGCCTAAAACTGCAAAATAACTATATGTGAGGAATATGACATATGTTTGTATCGTGTTTATCGAGTTACCATTACAGCTGCCATTTTGAATGTTGACTAGACATAATGCTGTACAATTAGTGTATTTGTAGAAAGTGGATTCATAATACTATAACTATGCTTAACCCATACTTTTAACTCTGAAAACTATTACATGATCGATGTAGTCTTATATGACATGCTCAAGTGATTTTGCATTTAATCATGAAACACTCATCACCAGACACCTCAAAACAAACATTTTCTCTAAGTGACAAGAGGAAAAATGTTTCACAATATGTTCTGCCTTACGGCAAAGTAAAGATACATTTCTGGGACGACTTTTTATTCATCTTAAGATTTTAGAAAAACAATTAATTCATAAAATACAGTTGAATAACATACTGGAAAACTGAAAAATCTTCATACAGCACAATGACACGCAGTTTAAATAACAGTTGGAGATGCATTATACCATAGGTTTCTCGCGCAGACAATCAATGATGTCCTATTGTTATTGCTCATATAATATCTCACATACCATGGATATATCTTGAGAATAATGGGTATATTATTGCCGAAATATTGAAGTAATCAACAGAACAACCAACCTCCAGAATTAAACACAGTTGATTCCTTGGCTAGCGAGGGGAATCACCATTGAGTCACACAAGCGCCCACACGCCCCTTGAACCAAACAGAATTAATTTCCCTGAAAATAATTAGATCGGTCAGCACAATTGCAAAATTAACACTGAAATCGGGGGATTTGGGACTTCTTCATTGGTAAGTAGATGGATGACTATGTGGTGAAGCTCAATAAGCAAAAAGGTCCAGAGGGATCTTGATTGTGCTATCCTATGGTATAGAGCCTCTTTAACTGTTTTTTTTTAACATATCAATGTCAAAATAAGTAACATTTTCGAAATGAAACTTACACGCTCCCTGTACGTTAATAGATTTACTGAAATGTATCTTGTATTGCTTTCGAGTTTTGCTTCACTGCGCCCACTATTATCTATCTTTGCCTATATGTTTTGCCAACAAAATCACGGTGTTATAGCATGATAGTTACGCCACCTCTGAAAACGAGGTTGGACGGCTATGTTCACTGATTTATCCAATAAAATGGCCGCAATAGAAGAGAAAACTAAGGTTGGTGCATTATTTTATACTACTGTGTATCAATGAAAGGATGAACGATTTATGTAAGCGTCGCATTCGGTGATGCATTCAGTAATGTATATTTTGAACCAAGTCTTTGCAAATCGATGCCTGGGGATAACATGAAATAGAGAAAAACTGTCGAGTTTGAAATTCAAAACTATACAAAATTTAGTAATTTGTTTATTTTTGTTGTTAGGGCATGTAGACTGTAGACTACTCTGATAATTGTAACTTCTTCTTTCATAAAAGGTCACACATTCCAACATATTTCAAACAGTCTGTATGATTATGCTTGGCACTTTCTGGGTAGTTGGACTTCGTGTAGGGGTGGCAGACGGCCCTCAGACCCCCACCCCAAGAAAACCTTGGGGGTACTTTAATACCACCTTATAAAAATAATACGAATGCATTTCATACATTCATAGTTGCATAGTAGGTAGGGCATACCATGGTTAGTCAGTGCCAGAAATATCCAATCTCTAACTAATATGATTACCATGGAAACAGTATTTACATCTCAAAATCTTCTCAATTTAACCTCCTTCCAAATATGTCCCTTAGCCCTCAAAATGAAATATTTGCAAATTTGTTTGGATTTTGTGGCTACCACTTTGTCAAAAGTTGTATAAATATGTATCTATTCACACTAAAGCACTAAAAAGTTGATATAATGCTCCAATAAATCAATAATATTTATCAAATATAGTCACACACAACTGCTTTTAGGGAAAAGTGGGCGTGGCACTTTTTGGTACTTGTCTAATTGTTGCACCATTAAGCGAAAAATACATATTACACTAACAACAATTGACATTTAATTATCATCTACTAACATTGTGTAACATTGTAATATGTTCATTATCATTATTAAATACTTAAGATATTTTATTTAAGTGTTATCATGAACTTTCCTTTTATCCCTATACCATACAAGGTAGGCATCACCAATGGTGTCAAACTAACTTTTCTGTTTGATTTATTTTTTACCATAGACAGGGGAAAAAGCTTACTTGAAGTAGTGACCTCATTAGGTGCTATGTATATGGATAGATGGATTGATAATAGTAGTTAGATGGCAGCACTTGTGCTAGTTGGGCTAGATACTAGTATTTACCATTGACTTGACATATGTCACTTAGCCTATTGATTTACCATATTAGTTCTGTTGGATTTAAGTAAAACTGCATTTGCATTGAATTTGTTGATGTTCAGATTGTGTTTGAAACTTGATGATAATCAGATTGTGTTTGAACTGGATGTTGTTCAGATTGTGTATACATGAACTTTAAAAGGACCACTGAAACAATAAGTCAAAGTTCAAAATTCATTAAAATTATCTCAATGAGAATTTAGCCTGTTAAACTATAGTTAGTTATAGTTATAGCTCATCATTTGCAACTTTTTCATTATTCAAATGACCTAGGGAAGCCAGTGATATGAATTGGCCTTATCCATTGAGTTACAGTAATTTAAATGGAATATTGTGAAGAACAAGAGAACTGTTCCAAAGCTTCACAGGAAATACGGGAGCAAAGTCAACAAGGGATGTGGGAACTAGGCTGTTCACATGGAGAGATTTAGAACTCTCCAGGGAAGTGTCTCTATTTGGTATAAAATACACAGGTCTATTCATGCAAACCATTTTAAATATGAATCAAAATTAGTGATATCCATGTTTCTGGTGAAAGCATCAATTGAAAGAGACAAACATCCTACTCCTATGGAATCAAATATAAGGAAGTTCGAAGCAGTAAAAAGGTATTACTATTTAAGATTTGATTGAATAAATTGAATCAGAGGCAATTTTTAAATTTAGATATATTAAAAGAGGCTCTGTTGGTTAGATGGGAGAATTAGCTGCATGTTAAAGGTGGCGCTTTGTTCAGTTTATAACAAAATTGATATTTAGCCCAAAACAGTAAAAAAAATACTAAGCAAATATTTCAATGGGCAATACCTGTCATCTTTCAATGATTCTTGCAATATGTATTGCCCGCAGCCCATAGGGTGAGGGTAATACATGTTGCAAAAATCATTGAAAGTGCAGTTGTCAGAATCCCCAGCCGGGCAATATATCTTTTATATGCCAATAATTCAGGGAGCTGTGAAATACGCTATGGTATTTTTAGTCACATGGTACTGAATTAGCCAATCAAGTCACACAATTTAAATTTGGTATATAGATGAATTAGACAAAGGCAAATTCACTTCAACATCTTGTTAGGCATCAAACAAAGGTACAAGCTTTCTCAAAATGGCCACTTTACTAAAGAAATTGTCAAAAGATTATATGTATCAAGTTTTAATGTATTTACATATAAATATAGCTGTCTTAATAGGTACACATGATGAAAATACAGGCAAAAACAAAATGCATGCTTTCTGAAACCCTGCGTTTGGATATTGATAAATTGAATGATATTGGCTAAAAACTTGTCAGAATTAAAAAAAAATTTCCAAAGAAAAGTCAACATTTCAAAACGACAGCAATAGCTAGAACTATCATATTTAGATGTTTACTTGACAGTATGGAGAATTGGGGAATCTGGACAGAGAATCATAACAGAGGTAGAAAGATTTGATAGAAAAATGGAGTTTTGGTGTGGAAGGGGGGGGGGGGGGGCGTGTAATTGTATAATTGTTTATGTAACTATGGCAGCCATCATTTCATAAAATTGATAAAATGACATATTCTAGATAATGATAGGCATTTGCCATCATAAACTATGAGGGATTATGACTCATAAACTTAACTATGGAGATTTGGGGTAGTAATATGGAACATAAGTTATATGGAAACTGTAACCTTATAAGATCTTGTCCAATTTCAATCATACCTGATTATAAAGGACCATTGATGTTACAGCATCAGGACATATTACGTATAATATTAAATGATGACCATCATTTCTACTGTGCCAAAATCATTCAACCAATTTGAAAATGGAATACGAGAACAAGATTTCTCATTCTATGTTGTATTCATACAGTATGTCTAATAATAATTGATATTAAATATATTTACTTTTATTGTTTTTATACACTAAACA